GGTAAAGGAGTGATTGGTAGGGGGGTGGAGGGGGCCGAGAAGCCTCAGATGTAAACAGTGCACGCCCCCTCGGGAGCCCTGAACAACATGGCGTAGGAAGTCCGTCAACAAACTGGTTCCGGTATCGTTTGTGTGCAGACCATCTGGACGATATGGCCACGTACTTTCTGTATGTACCTAAAGTACCACTGTAAGTACCCAACTGTAAGTACCCTCTAGTACCCCACTGTAAGGGTACTATAAGTACCATCATAAGTACCCGTCTGTAAGTACCACACAATAAGTACCTAGAAGAACCAACTGTAAGTACACTCTGTAAGTACCACAAAAACAATAAAGTACCTAGAAGTACCACTGTAACGTACCGACAATAATTACCTAGAAGTACCAACACTGTAAAAGTACCCAACAATAAGTACCACTATAAGTACCTCTAAGTCCACACAATAAGTACCTATAAGTAACCACTGTAAGTACCATCTGTACGTACCCAACAGGGAAAGTAACCTAGAAGTACCACAGTAATACCATGGACTTACCGGGCCCTTAATGGTCAATATGTTACCCGAAAAACCAAACCTAATCTTAATCATTGGTCACTATAACCAAACCTAATCTTAATCTTGGCATCTATAACCCAACCTAACTTATCTTTGGCACTATAACCAAACCTAATACCTTAATCTTGGCAACTATAGACCAAACCTAATCTTAATCTTGGCAACTATAACCAAACCTAATCTTAATCTTGGGCACGCCGAAGCGGCCGTATAACCAAACCACGATCTTATCTTGGGCACTGAAACCAAACCTAATCTTAATCTTAGGCATACTTAAACCAAACCCCAGTACCAGGGGTGCTCACACTTTTTCAGCATGCAAAATATTTATTTCCGCAATATATGTTTATGTACATGCAAAACCGCATGAGCCAATATAGCACAACACAACACAATTATCTATGTACATTTTTTGTCATTACCAGAGTTTACTCTTATGACTTGCACTGAATTGAATCGGCCAGGGATGCATAGTCCGGAAAATTGGTGGTAACTCGCTGACAAGTTTGTCGTGGTTTAGCTTTCCTGCACTGAGCGCGGTTGTCTTGCGCATGTGCAGTCACCTAAGTGTCAGTAAAACATTACTGAGTAAAACACAGATGTCATTTGACTGTGCTGCCATGTCCATGTGCCATACCTGTTTTTTTTAATCCAAATATTTCCCCTCCTCAGTTTATAAAATAATTTGCATCCACACATCTGCGTTATCAATCACATTCCAAACATGTGCGTGTCTTACGTCCTGTCCTGCGTTGGGGAAAAACACAGAAGTGGGCGGAGCTTTGATGCAGACGCCGGTAACGGCACTTTTACAGTCATAGAAGACACTCAGAGTAAAGACGTATGTTTACAAGCACTGACCCCGTCCTCAGCCCTGGTTTAGTCCTGGTTTAGTCCTGGTTTAGTCCTGGTTTAGTCCTGGTTTAGTCCTGGTTTGGTTGTTTTCGAGCGTGAGTCCCCGCGATCACTTTGCTGCTCTCTGATGTGGAGGATGTTCGCTGCTGCGAGCATCTCACAGCGAACAGTTTTTAAGGTAGTATGATCCATGCTTCAGTGATCAGAGGAATTTAGGGGGGTACTGTGGCGTGCGAGAACGCAAAACTCCGATTATCTCTGTCTACACACAAATGCATTAACGGAGTTTTCAAAAATCTCCACTTTGCCCGGAGTTTTTTGTATATATTAGTTTAGAATGTGTAATTTTTTATTTATTTAATGCGATCTACCAATACTACCTTTGCGATCGACTGGTAGATCGCGATCGACGTATTGAGCACCCCTGGCTTAAGCAATGCCCCACAGTCTATACAGTGCAAAAACTCACTGGATTTAACTGGGGAATTTGGCTGTTTAGCTGGGACTAAAGTTCCAATGCCGGCCTTTAAAACCTCAAAATTGTGCTCACGGTTTCCACTATTCCTGATCAAATCAAACTGAAGTTTACGTGCTTTAGATTTCACAGGTAGAGCCAATGCTCTGGCTACGTCACTTTCATTTCCATGTTTTCTAGTCAAATGACGGGACATTTTGTGGCAGGACATTGAACAGTAGAGGCAGAAGTGTCTCTTGCTGTATACTCGCCCCCCATTTTTCTTCTTTTGCAGCTGCATGATAACAATCTTATTTGCCTTTGGTTCGTCACTTTCCGAGTCTTGAAGAAAAGTGTTTTTGATTTTTCTTTTTCCATACTTTTTTACAGGTTTCTTCTTGACAGTTAAATCGTCAGAATCTGAGTCGACTTCATCAATTAGGGACTCTTGACTAAGCTGCACAAACAACAAATAATTTGTAATCATTCTATATAACAATTTGAAGTCATGACTTGTAGTCAGCACTTACCAGTGGTTTGTAAGCGTGCGCTTCAGTGTGCTCCTCCATGATTTCTTGCAGCCTAATGAACCACACACTTGCACCTTTTTCTAGCCTGACACCTGATTTCCTCTGTTGTGCTGCTCCATGATTGGCTCCAGCCTGCTGGACTGAAATTGCCCCAGTGTGCCCCTCCTTGATATCCCGCAACCCACCACCAGGGTTCCGACACATAACACACTTTTTTCAGGAAAGTAAACCTCCAGGGGTCCTTTCCATATTTTTACAGAGACTGCATAAGGACCGTTAGAAAAGCATTACCCATTGATTATTAAGCTTGGACCAGTGGGGTCCGGTGTTCGGGCCCCACCACGTAAAACCAGTCCCCATGACGTGAGTGGAATCTCAGGTTATGGAACCCACCAGGAGTTGAAAACAAGTGCACACCACGCACACATACACACACACACCACGCACACACACACACACACACATACACACACACCACGCACACCCCGCACACATACACACACACACCACGCACACATACACACACCACGCACACATACACACACACACACATACACACACACACCACGCACACATACACACACCACGCACACACACACATACCACGCACACACATACACACACACACCACGCACACATACACACACCACGCACACATACACACACACACACACCACGCACACATACACACACCACGCACACATACACATACACACACGCACACACACACACCACGCACACATACACACACACACACACCACGCACACACACACACACACATACACACCACGCACACATACACGCACACATACACACACGCACCACGCACACATACACACACACACACACGCACACACACACACCACGCACACATACACACCCACACCACGCCCACATACACACCCACACCACGCACACACACACACCCACACCACGCACACATACACCCACACACACGCACACATACACACCACGCACACATACACACACCACGCACATATACACACACACACACACACATACACACACACACCACGCACACATACACACACCACGCACACATACACACACACACACGCACCACCACGCACACACACACACACACCACGCACACATACACACACACACACACCACGCACACATACACACACACACCACGCACACATACACACACACCCACACCACGCACGCACACACACACACCCACACATACACACCCACACCACACACACATACACACCCACACCACACACACATACACACACACACACACCACACACACATACACACCCACACCACGCACACATACACACCCACACCACACACACATACACACCACACACACATACACACCCACACCACGCACACATACCACACCCACACCACACACACATACACACCCACACCACGCACACATACACACCCACACCACACACACATACACACCCACACCACACACACACATACACACCCACACCACACACACATACACACCCACACCACACACACATACACACCACACACACATACACACCCACACCACGCACACATACACACCCACACCACGCACACATACACACACACACCACGCACACATACACACCCACACCACGCACACATACACACACACACCACGCACACATACACACCCACACCACGCACACATACACACCCACACCACGCACACATACACACCCACACCACGCACACATACACACCCACACCACGCACACACACACACCCACACCACGCACACATACACACCCACACCACGCACACATACACACCACACACACACACCCACACCACGCACACACTCTCACACACACACTATCTCGCACACACACACTGTATCTTGTCTGTCTTACTGAAACTGTATCTGTTTGTACGTCTGCACTTGTATTTGTCTATGTCTATCTTCACAATAAAAAAATAAAAAAAAACATGTGTTCTATATTCTTTATAGGGCGACAGTAGCTCAGTTGGTAGAGCATTGGCCTTTGAGCCAGATGGTTATGGGTTCGAGCCCGCCCTTCAACATCGACTCCCACTGATGTCTGCTGTCGTTGCAGACATCAGGGCAAGACACTTAACCTCTGGGAGCACCAGCCACAGTGGGGCGGCTGCAGCTGTAAAGTGCCAAACTGCCGTTGTGTCCTTAGGCAAGACACTTCACCCCCATTGCCTAGAATGAGTCTGGTGTGTGTGTGAATGGTTGGTGGTGGTGGGAGGCGCCGTTGGCACAGACTGGTTGCCTCGCTTCTGTCACTGTGCCCCAGGGCAGCTGTGGCTACAGTAGTAGTTTATCACCACCGTGTTTGGAGAGAAAGAATAATGACATGTGAAGCGTCTTTGAGTGTCCAAAAAAGCGCTATATAAAAACGATGCATTATTATGTGTTTTAACTGTTGATTCTCTGACCTGTGATGATGATTTCAATGGTTTTGTTAAATCTCTGAGATGACTTCTGTTGTGATTTAGGGCTATACAAGCATAAATTGTATTGTGTATTCACATCAAATAATGTTTTATTAAGAATCATAATTTACTACTCTTTTTGATTTCCAAAATCGTCCAGATATTTGTTTTCAATGTCCCAGCTAAATCTCAGTCCGACTGTTGGTGGCTCTGGCCCCCACGGCCCTCGCCTCAGCTCCGCCTCTGCTTCCACATCTCCAGCCTCGGTTCCTCCTGGTTCCTCCCGGGTCAGCCCTGCCCGCTCTAGCCGGGCTCAGTGCACTTTGAAGCGGCCACAGCAGCTCCAGAAACCCCCCAGACACACCCCCTGAGTCATGCGGGATGGCGAGCTCGGAGACAGCCGCAGAACACGAGAGAATCCTGCGGGAGATAGAGGGCACGGACACGAACTGCATCGGTCCCACTCTGCGGTGAGTCCTGGTGCTGGTCACCCGGCACACGGGCTCTGTGCGCGGCTGGCTTCACCGGAGGGAGTCGGTTAGCATCTGGTTAGCTTCTGTTAGCATCTGTTAGCCGATTCCAACTCTTCAAAGTTTTGCAATTATCAGAGAAATCACAGTTCGTTTTTGTTTCAACTGCAGTTTTTACAATTTCTCAGTGTCCGATAAACTGCTGAACATTCACATTTATATATTTTATTTTTTCACTAGAATATGTTACTTTTGTGTGTGTGGGAATGTGCCAAAGTTGTGCTAATGTGCTAATGTGGCTAACTAGCAGACTGCAGGAGACAGCGCTGCCCGTGCTGCTGCTGTTATAGATCCATGGTTGTTGACAGCTGAACTGAGCCACTTTGTAGTTTTAATGTTGTGATTTTATGGGAATTTAAAACACAATTTTCCCTCTGTTTGAGCCTGTAGTTGATTATCCACTAAATTCGATCCAAATGGAGTGTTTTCTGTCTCTTTACTGCACACAGACGTCTTTGTGCAGTGTCAGAAGCCTCTGAATCCACTGAATACTAATTACAGCCACTGCAGTCTCTTCATAATAACTGGAGGAGTTTTTAAAGTTTTCCAACATGTGACATTTTGTCCTAATAAGAAAAGGCTATGACACAATAGGAAGTGAGTAATTGTTGTTTTTCTTCTTGAAGTTTCCTTTGACATCGTCCCTGTTCAGTGGTTTTGTCTTTTCTGCAGAGTCTAGAATCTCCATGTTGCATTTACTGATGTCACCTCTGGATGTTTTATTGTCTTCAAATTCTGACACTTTGTGATAAAAGACAGCGCCGCCATATCTCACTGTACACAGACCTTTATCTGAAGGGTGTTCACTATTCTGGATACTTGTGAACTACTGTATATGTACTGTATGTTTTTCACTCATTGACTGCCATTGACTTATTTGTTTAAGACTGGGGATTTCTGTCAAACTTCCTTCTGTTGGACTGGGGATTACTAGCTAGAAACCAACTTATTTTTGCTGATAAAAGTAGACAATTCAGTCTTTCAGAATCTGGTTTCACATTTCACATGGTCATAGCACACAATATTCTGTGGGTCTTGAAAGTCAGTGAAATCATCAAAAACGGCAGACAGTCCATGAGTTAACTGTGAAGCGCTTTGTGATCCTGGTCTGTGAAAGGCGCTATATAAACAAACTTGACTTACTTTTGTATGTCACTAATGAAGGCGTGACAATAACAGATGTAGAACAGAGGTCTCCAGCCTGTAGCTAATATATTTAATATTTCAGATTGTATTGTTCATTATTATTATTTATTATTGTTAATGCACTAACTTTGTCACATAGTAACAAACATGTGATGATAGATACTGACTGTACCCGATTTCACAGACCAGAGTCTCAAAGCGGTCAGAGCTACTTTTGTCCCGGGAAAGTAGCTCTCTGCCTTTGTCGTCCTGGGAAAGTAGCTCTCTGCCTTTGTCGTCCTGGGAAAGTAGCTCTCTGCCTTTGTCGTCCTGGGAAAGTAGCTGTCTGCCTTTGTCGTCCTGGGAAAGTAGCTCTCTGCCTTTGTCGTCCTGGGAAAGTAGCTCTCTGACTTTGTCGTCCTGGGAAAGTAGCTCTCTGACTTTGTCGTCCTGGGAAAGTAGCTCTCTGACTTTATCGTCCCGGGAAAGTAGCTCTCTGACTTTGTCGTCCTGGGAAAGTAGCTCTCTGAATTTATTGTCCTGGGAAAGTAGCTGTCTGCCTTTGTCGTCCTGGGAAAGTAGCTCTCTGACTTTATCGTCCTGGGAAAGTAGCTCTCTGCCTTTGTCGTCCTGGGAAAGTAGCTCTCTGCCTTTGTCGTCCTGGGAAAGTAGCTCTCTGCCTTTGTCGTCCCGGGAAAGTAGCTCTCTGACTTTGTCGTCCTGGGAAAGTAGCTCTCTGAATTTATCGTCCTGGGAAAGTAGCTGTCTGCCTTTGTCGTCCTGGGAAAGTAGCTCTCTGACTTTATCGTCCTGGGAAAGTAGCTCTCTGCCTTTGTCGTCCTGGGAAAGTAGCTCTCTGCCTTTGTCGTCCTGGGAAAGTAGCTCTCTGCCTTTGTCGTCCTGGGAAAGTAGCTCTCTGCCTTTGTCGTCCTGGGAAAGTAGCTCTCTGACTTTATTGTCCCGGGAAAGTAGCTCTCTGCCTTTGTCGTCCTGCAAAAGTTGCTCTCTGCCTTTATGGTCCTTGGAGAGCTCCTTTAAACATAAGAAGAAAAAAAAAAAAAAAAAAAAAAAACAGAAAAACCCTAAAAGTTTAATGAAATGAACGTAAAGTAAAAAAGAATTCAAATACCAACACACACACATGTCGTAACCCAGCATCATGCATTTTCTATAATCATATGGTGTTGGTGCTAAAAAGAATTAGATACAAAATAGATTTCTAGTATTTCTTTGCCTCCTGTATTTATCACATCTATGATATAATATCTTGATTCAATAACAATTCATCTTTGATCAATTAAATGTAAATATTAGTATGTTTTTTGTGCCAGCGTTGGGCCATATGAAATATAATCAGCTCAGTGTTTGAATGTGAAACTCTGCTGAAGTTTGAGACGCTGAGGTGTTTCTGCCCGTTTCACTCTGGGCTAAACTACAGACCCCCGAGAACCCTGACCCTGGCCTGGATCTCATCTGACACAATTATCACATCAGAAAACACAGGTGCTTATCTTAGAAGTTGGATCCGTCTCTTTGCCCTTGTTTTACCTCCTTTTCTGTACTCTTTTCTTGTGTCGAAGGTGGTTCCTTAAACAGAACCTCCATCTTGTTTTTTATCGTCACATCATTCCCACAAAGAAACAATTTCTATCTTATTTTTTGGCCGAACCAGAGTTGATTTTTGAATACTTATTGAATCTCACTGTAGTCCGTTATAATGTGATTCTCTCTGGTCTCTCTGGTCTCTGTCTCTGGTCTCCATCTCTGGTCTTTTTCTGGTCTCTCTCTCTTTGGTCTGTCTCTGGTCTCTGGTCTCGGTCTCTGGTGTCTGTCTCTGGTCTCGGTCTCTGGTCTCTCTGGTCTCTGGTGTCTGTCTCTGGTCTCGGTCTCTGGTCTCTCTGGTCTCTGGTGTCTGTCTCTGGTCTCGGTCTCTGGTCTCTCTGGTCTCTGGTGTCTGTCTCTGGTCTCGGTCTCTGGTCTCTCTGGTCTCTGGTGTCTGTCTCTGGTCTCGGTCTCTGGTCTCTCTGGTCTCTGGTGTCTGTCTCTGGTCTCTCTCTGTTCTTTTTCTGGTCTCTCTTTTACCTCTCTCTCTGATCTCTTTGTCTCTGGTCTCTCAGGTCTCTCTCAGGTCTCTCTCAGGTCTCTCTCTGGTCTCTCTCTGGTCCTGAGTACTTGTGCTGTGACTTTGGAAGAGTACATTTGTTTTGACCTTTGTATTGTGATGCGTTGCTGCTGGAGCTTTCCCACTGTTGTCCACTGTCAACACCGCTCAAAGAACCGTTAAAAACACGTCAGAATCACTGCTAATAAGTTATTTTTCAACTTTATTGTCATGATCTAAATTGGTTATATAATCTTTTGTAACCTGCATTGTCCAGACAGGAAGTAGGAAGTGATAAAGGAGGAAGAAGCTGCTCCATTATCAAACATGTCTGGAACTTTGTGTCTGGTGCAGAATTGTTTTGACAGTTTTCCAAGTAAATGCCATCGATTTATATTATAATACCTGGATAAACCTGTCTCCACATGGACTAGAGGCCACCTGTGGTACTGCAGCCTAAACTCACACGGACTAGAGGCCACCTGTGGTACTGCAGCCTAAACCCACATGGACTAGAGGCCACCTGTGGTACTGCAGCCTAAACTCACACCGACTAGAGGCCACCTGTGGTACTGCAGCCTAAACCCACATGGACTAGAGGCCACCTGTGGTACTGCAGCCTAAACTCACACCGACTAGAGGCCACCTGTGGTACTGCAGCCTAAACCCACATGGACTAGAGGCCACCTGTGGTACTGCAGCCTAAACCCACATGGACTAGAGGCCACTGGTGGTACTGCAGCCTAAACTCACACGGACTAGAGGCCACCTGTGGTACTGCAGCCTAAACCCACAGATAAGCAGATTTCCCCCATGGATCTATGATTTCCCCACAGACCTCAGTGTCACTAAAACAGATCGTCTTCAGAGACAGAACCACAGCTTTCACAAAGATGGATTCTGTGAACACTTTTGTGTCTCAGTCTCCAGAACTTCTGTTCTTTTTTAATTAATTGATTAAAAAAAAAATACATCTTTACTTTTGTGCCGCAGACGTGCTCGATTCATGCAGCAAACACAGGAGATGAGAGTCACTCATAGACTGTAATTCAGTCTGAGACGCATGGACACTGCACCTACAGCCACAAGACCAGGAGAACCAGGGGCAGAGACCAGGGGCAGAGACCAGGGGCAGAGACCAGGGGCAGAGACCAGGGGCAGAGACCAGGGGCAGAGACCAGGGGCAGAGACCAGGGGCAGAGACCAGGGGCAGAGACCAGGGGCAGAGACCAGGGGCAGAGACCAGGGGCAGAGACCAGGGGCAGAGACCAGGGGCAGAGACCAGGGGCAGAGACCAGGGGCAGAGACCAGGGGCAGAGACCAGGGGCAGAGACCAGGGGCAGAGACCAGATCTTGGAGAAACCAAAGGCAGACATCTTGGAGACTTGGGGCTTTGTAAATACATGGTTTTCATGGCACAAACTAATGGCCCTCTTTCTCTGAGTCTCAAAGTTCCCAGGCTTCTTTCAAAACCCGGACGTTCTAATTAAAGAGCATCAGCTTCTAAATATAACCCATCAGAGATCTCACAAGTGCTGGTCAAAGTGACAGAGGTGTCCAAGCTGATACTCCAACGCTGGGAAGAGAAACTGTGCAAAGGTTCAGCTGTTTTTAAAGGAGAAGTATGACCACAATTTACTATTTGGTAGTTTCTGTTCAAGCAGCTGAGATTAGATCAATGGATTTATGGAGTATTTAG